GCAGAGAACCTTGTTGTCCTGCGGCTTCCCCTGCTCCCTCGGCGCCTGCCGCCAGCCCACTTGAGATATTTTGAGCCAGATGCCGGGGACACGCAAGCTCCCAGCTATTTTGGACACAGTGCATGCCTGGAGAAAGGGAGCAGGGAGATGGGAGGGGGAACTCTGCCTCGGAGTGGGTGGGAGATGTCTGATGATGGAGGCCAAAGCTTTCAGCCCACTTCTGTCCTACACGGGGTGAGGAGGAGCTCCCCATCCCTCCAGATCAGGGGCTGGAAGCCTGCACCCCATGAGCTGCCCCTCACTTTGCTCCTGACAGCCTTTCTCCTGTCCCCACCACTCAGACTGTGCCCTTCATCCAGAAACACCAGAAGCCCGGGTAAGGCAGAGACTGGTAGCTTTCCATGGGGCTCGTGCTGCTGGCCCCCCTCTGGAAGGCAGTAAAAAAATCCTCTCCCCCCCCACTTTGAGCGGTTTTGACCCACACAGGGAGGAAACACCAGACAGACTGTGACCCTGCTCTCCTGCCTTCCCTATCCTTGGGGTGTCTCGCACAGGACAGCCAGGTAGTGTGAGGTTAGGGCAAAAGCTAAATGCAGCAATCCCAAAGAGGACCCCCGGGAAAGTCAGCCCCTGTTTGCATTGCTGAGCAGCAGCTACTGCCGCATTAACACAGCCAGAAATAACTTTATCTCCAAGCGCTTGAGTAAACAGGCAATCAGGAGGGAGAAGGTTTACCCTGGCAAGCCATAGGGAAATGACCTTGGTAAAACAACCTCAGGTGAAGGGCTGGGCCCAGGAAGGGCCATAGCCACCTACTTTCCTGGAACTTGATCTTAGGCAGGTGATGGGAAGGGGCTGGTATCTCATCTGCCAGTAGGGTTGGAAGGCATGAGTCCTGCCAAGCCATCCTGACCACCCATCCCTCCTTGGGAGCAGCCAAATATCTCCACTAGGCTGTGCTCCGGCATGGCAGGTCAGGGCCAGCATAGGGAAGCCAAAGACATAGGGTGGTGGTAGCTGCTTGTTGTGAGTATCAGTGCATTGACTCCAAAAAGTGCTTGCTGGAGCAGATAAATGATGGGAAAGGCTGTGTGTTATTTCCTGCCTGCATGATAAAATCTAGCCACTACAGAAGGCTGAGAGGTGAAGTTTAAAAGCTGTTCCCATGGGGTGAAGATATGGCTTTTTTAGAGGTTTGCAGAGGGTTTGGTGGGACCCTGCTGCTGGAGTAGCAGCAGCAGAGGAGGGGGTCCATGGGGATTGATTCCTCTGGAAAGCAGACTTCCATCCTGCCTGCTTCACCACCATGCATTTCAGCTCCTGCAGCCTGGGGTTGGGGTGGCACTTGCAGAGCAATTTTATGGAGGTGCGGAAGTGCAGCGAGAGAAGAGAAACAAACTGGGAGCAGTCCCCTTTGTCCCAGAGCATCAACCACTGGGGAAACTGAGGCAGAGACAGCAGCTGTCTGTGAGGACTGCTGTAATGATGAGAAGGGTCACAAGCTGCTCTCAGCAGCCAGGGTAGTGCGAGAGCACAGGGTTGGGATGGCTCCCGTGAGTAGCAAGCACCTAACCTAAGCAATGGGCTTTCAGGCAACCAATTCAAGGCTCTTCACCAACAGCAAGAAAGGGGACTTGATCTATGTTTTTTATTGAGCACTGCACTCTTGTGCTTAGGGAGGAATGTGACAACATTTAGCTTTAATGAGGGGCTCAGCCAGCCCTTTCTCAGCCAGCTCCATGCTTTTAAAAATCATCATGGCTTGGAAAAATAAATTCTGATGCACATTGTTTACTCATGCAGCAACACATAGTTTTTCCTTCAGCTGCTGTGTGTGCTTGTGCTGAAATGAGCTGTGAGCTGTTGCTCACTGCTGGTTTGGGAATACGGTTGTCAAATTGCATCCCTTTCTGTGTGTAGATGTGGCAGTATGCCTTGAGGACAGGGTCAGGCTGTCTCTGTTTTGAGTTTTTTTTAAATCTCTGCAGGTGACCATAATCATCTGTGGATGGCAGAGTGTTTATCCACTGCCCCACAAGAGCAGACAAAGCCCAGGGCCCGCTGCGTCAGAGCCTGCAATAAATGTGATCCTCAGATAACCACACGTTTCCAGGGTAGCAGGGCTTTAGAGGGAACAGCAAATATTATGAAGCTGGCAATCAAATTGCAAAAGTTAATTTCCCTGTATTCTTATGGAGAAATAGCTCTGATTTATTTGGATTCATTAATTCATTATTTAGATATCTTCTGCTTAGTGAATCAGGGAGATATGATGTTTCACAGAAAAAAAAAAAAAGAAGAAAATTATAGCAGAGGTGCATTGAGTCATTTCGGTTGGAGATTAGATTTACAGGTTGTTGCTTAAAAAGTGACCTTTTGATTTTTACTATCACCCAGAGGTGGCTGGGAAGGATTTGGGAGGATGAGGGCCCTGGCAGCACTGCCTGCTGGAAGCTCAACCAGCCTGGATGTCTGTGTCCCAACATGCTCAAACAACAACTGGCTTAAAAACAGCATTTTCAGTACACAGAACATGTCCTGTCCATGTCAGTCAAGGAACACGGTGGTTTTAAAGTCTTATATGAGTCTCATGTCACCGTTTTTTTGGCATGGCCATCACATGGTTAAAAAGGCCAACAAAAGCTGCAGACTGGGCCATGTTTGTTCTGTGATTTGATGCCTGCCAGAGGTTCACTGCATCCCTTCCATCAAACTGAATTAAGGATTTGTATTTGGGCAGAGCACCAGATGATCATGGTAAATAATTATCTTTGTAAGCAATGTTTTACTGCATAAGTACTAACACTTCTTTTTTCCTTCTATATTTTTCCCCCAACCAAATTGGTGACTGAAAAGCATCCTTGACATTAATTTTATTTTCAGCACTTGCAGGGGCTGGGGGAGCGGGTGAGCAGCTGCCTTGGCCCTGCTGCCTTTCCCTGCAGCTTGTGGGGAGGCTTTACCCTGGACAGGGGAAGGGGGAGCGCCTGCTGCCATTCAGCCTTTTGCCTCACACCCCTATATCTGCCCCAGCATCGCACCAGCCTGGGTTAGAGGGACAGCTGGTGAGGATGGTGGTGTGATGTCAGGGAAATCCTGGTCCATGGTGAGCAGAGGATGCTCCCACGCATCCTGGCAGCGGGTGGAGACCCAGGCTCTGCTCTGGCCAGGGTCGGTCCCGTCGACAGAGAGGATGAAGCTCATGGCAACATAAAAGCAAAGGGGCAGAATTTAATCCAGCATAATAGACTGCATACAGTGCTTTGACTCACTTTTTTTAAAAAAAATTCTTATTCTGTTTTAAGCCAAATTGAGGTGCCTCCAAGCTGCCCCAACCTGGGTCAGGCCTTTCCAGCAGCAGCTGAGCTGGCTGGGAGCAGCAGGGCTCCCGAGGGCAGACCAGAGCTGGGCTCACCCCACAGACAGGCTCAGACAAGCTCCACACCTAGATAAACACATCTTTATTTTCCGTTCCACGAATACACATCAAAACTGTCCAGACCTCGCCTGGACATGTCACCTAAACTACTGCTCCTCTCCAGTTGCCTCTCCCGCCCCACTGTGGGACGTGTGGTCCCTCTGCACACTTGTGCGAGGCCGTTAGAGGGCATTTGGGTTTCATTTTTCCATCACCCAGAAGGATTATCACTGTGGGAAAGTAGAGGCGGAGCTGCTGATCAGCTCTCCTGTGCCGACTCTCGCGTAGCTGGAGCAGCTCCAGCCCACTGGGAGACGGCCCCGAGTCGTCTTTGCAATTTGATTTCTTTTTTTTTCCCCGCTTTTCTCTTGGCCTTGGCTGGCGGGGTATGTGCTTGGATGGCAGGCGGTATGTCTGGTGCTGTGGAGCGGTGTCTCCTGCGTCTGAGCTCCTGGCTCGCTGAAGCCCTGCCAAACCGCCAGTGCTTCGGAGAGGAGGAGGCCAGGCGGAGCAGGAAGGTTTGTGTTTATTCTGGAGAGATGTGAGGAAGGTGAATTAGAGCTGCCATCAGGAGGATGCCTCTGCCCATGCCCAAGAAGGCGGCTGCTGGGTTGTGGGGTGGATATGGTGGATATGAGCTCGTCATGGTCAAGCTGCTCAGCCTGGTGTGCTGGTGTCTTGTGGTGTGCAGCCCAATGTACCTGCTCCTGCCCTGGGAGGGCAGGGCATGAGGGGTTCTGCAGGGGATTTGGGCTTCCTGATGCTGGAGTTGGTCTCTCTTGCAGCGTGATGTGGTGGAGGAGCAGCAGCACCTCTCCAGCAGCCCCACCAATCTGGGAAAGGTCCAGTTCCTGGTTTTTCAAGTGGGTTGATGCTCATGGCAGGGTTTACCCACTTCCCATTTCATTCAGCCTAAGAAGTCCAGAGATGCTGCCCAGTAACCCTGCCTGCAGCAGTGGGGGTGCACAGAGGGGACAGGTGCTGGGTGACACAGGGATCTTGTTCTCTATTTCCACCCTCCTTTGCAGCCAAACTCCATCACTTCTTCCCCAGTTTCCCAAGGAATGCATCCTCCATCTCCACCGAAACCACAGTGTCATGAGCATGTGCCAGACTCTACCGGGATAAGGTGTTGGCTCTGGGATGGAACCAGGGTGGGCACGGCTACAGACGACCTCCTCTTCCCCTCTGGAAAGGCAGAGCAGAGAGTGATGGGGAGATGGAGCAGGGTGCATCTAGGGAGCAGGGGCATGTAGTAGAGTGGGTGACTGGCCCCAGAAAGTTCTGGCCACATGCAAGTAAGGCAGTTTTGGA